CTCTTCTATCTATAGTGGGCCATGGTGGTATGGGGAAAACAACTCTCTTGCAACATGTCTATGAAGATGAAACGACTAAGGAGTTTTTTGATCTTAAAATGTGGGTTTGCGTTTCCAACAGCTTTGATGCGAAAAAAGTCATTGCAGATATGTTATCAACTCTTAAGGAGAGGCCTCGTTTGGACGAATCACTTGATGCACTTCAAAATAGTCTTAGGACTGAGATTATGTCCAAGAAGTTCTTACTTATTCTGGATGACATTTGGGAGGATGAGGAGAAGCAGGATATCAGCAAATGGGAGAAGGTGCTCGCCCCTATGGCTTATGGGAAAATTGGTAGTGGGATTTTGGTAACAACTCGAATGGACTCAGTTGCAACTATGATTGCAAAGGTCATTAAAAAGAAGACGGAAATATTTAGGCTGAAGGGCTTGAGAGAAGATCAGTGTTTGCAGCTCCTCAATTCTCATGCATTTGCTGATGTAGATAATCCTAATGATTATAAAAGATTAAGATCCATTGCTAGAGAGATAGTTAAAAAGTTTTCAGGATCTCCATTGGCTGCAAAGGTCATCGGTGGTGTTTTGAATTCTAGCTTGGATGAAAGACATTGGACAAAAGTTTTAAATAGTGATTTTGTAAGTCCAAATTTGGGTCACAATGACATCTTTCTCATTTTAAGATTGAGCTATATGTTCCTCCCAAAACATCTACGAAATTGTTTCGCATTTTGTTCTATATTTCGACAAGATTACATGTTTGATAAAGATGATTTAGTCCGAATGTGGATTGCGTTGGGTTTCATTCAGCAACCTCATGATCAAGAATGGACTATGGAGGATATTGGAGGAATGTATTTTGATGTTTTGGTTAAAAAATCTTTCTTTGATAAGTTTGGAGATTATGGACAATACTACTACAAGATGCATGATTTAATACATGAATTGGCACAATCAGTTTCCATGCATGAATGTTTAAGAGTCGAGGATGGTACAAATTTGTCTTCTATAATTCCTAAGACTCTTCGACACATGTCTGTTCAAACTACAAATCCAGAAATCATAATAAAGATTGGGAAGTTTAAATATTTACATTCTGTTTTCTTGTTCTATGAAGCTTCTAATCAGGATCTTTGCAATGCACTTATTGAAGTATTCAAAGCATCGAGAAGCCTACGCTTATTATATATACGGGATTCAAAAGACTCGAAAAAAATACCTGAGGAGATTGGAAATTTGATACATCTTCGATATTTGAATATTTACAATAAGAAGTTTCAAATGCTGCCAAGATCTCTAAGTAATCTCTATCACTTGCAATACATAATCTATCATATTCCTTGTTTCCCAAGCCAATATAATGTTGATGATTTTTTACCAAGTGGCATTAATAGCCTTTCTAACTTACGTTATGTGAAATTTCCCGGAGTTTGTAGTACATCGATATGTGGGATTGGGAAGCTAAAGTCTCTTCAAGAACTTAATATGTTTGATCTTAAAAATGCGAGTGGTTATAGAATTGGAGAGCTGGAGAATATGAATGATGTTTGCGAATTAGGAATCAATTGTCTTGAAAATGTAAAGGATGCTGAGGAGGCTTGTAGTGCCAAATTATGTTCCAAGAGTAGGCTCACAGATTTAACCTTATGTTGGAGTAACACTGATTCGAGGAACATCGATTTAGATGAGAATTTGCTTGACAACCTTCAGCCACCGACAGGTCTAAGGAATCTTTGCATAGAGAGATACATGGGTGCAAGGTCTGCAATATGGATGCACAATGTCAATCCGATCTTCAATCTAGAGATAATCAACTTGAGAGAATGCTTGGAGTGGGAAACTCTTCCTCCTTTCGGGCAACTCCCCTTCGTCAAGTCTCTGTGCCTTCATAACATGCCGAAAGTAAAATGGCTGGAAAGTAAATTTAATGGGAATGAAAAATACCATGCCTTTCCATTGCTAGAGGTTTTACGTATTTCGAATTTAGAAGCATTAGAGGATTGGTTTGAGGCAGGAGTAGCTGCTGAAGATGGATGTTTCTTTCGTTGCTTAATTAAACTATATCTATATAATTGCCCGCAGTTGCAAGAGTTGCCCTCTTTGCCTTCTAAGCTCAAGAGGTTGGCGATAAATAAAATTGGGTGGACGACTTTGAATTTTTGTAGCAATTCAAATCCTATTCCCCTTCAATCATTATGGGTCAATAAGTGTCCAAACATTACATCTCTTCCATTGGCTGATGAAATAGCAAGACTTGCAGCACTAAGAGAATTGACGATTACAAAGTGCCCAAATCTGATCTCTCTGGGAAGATATCGAGAAGTGGAGACCACTAATAATTGCCATCTCATGCTCAGCGATCTTACCATAAGTGATCCATCGGTGTTGCTAATGGAGCCATTGAGAAGTATCGCCTCCTTAAAAATGCTGATTATTTCCGATAATGATGAGGTGGTTTCATTTCCAAATGAGTTGGAGCAGTGGTTTCTGAAAGTTAGGTCTTCTCTTTCTAGGCTGGAATTTTCATCTCTCAAATCCTTACAGTCTCTCCCTTCCTCCTTGGAAAGCTTATCTTCACTTCAGGATCTAGCATTTTCATGTCTCAAATCCTTACAGTCTCTCCCTTCTTCCTTGGAAAGCTTATCTTCGCTTCAGGAACTATCTATTTGTGATGTTCCTATGCTTCGGGATTTACCGAACCTTCCTCCCTCTTTGGAAAGCCTATGTATTTGGGGG